CAGCTGGCTGATGTTCTCACTAATGGGGTGGGAAAGAACAAGCTTGAACATGATCTACGCAAGTTGGGAATGTGTGACATTTACTCCCAACTTGAGGGGGAGTGTTGAAGATTAATCAKTTTTATGATGTTTTTCTGAGTAGATGTTTTATGTTAGTTGTTAGATAGGAAGTGGGGACCACAGTAATTATGTGAGTCCAAATTTTATTTTGTTTTTGAGTGTTTTATATGTTGTTTTATGTTTTGCCGCCCTATAAGGGCATAGTTGTCATTGTACTGTTCTATTATTTTTAGTATAAATAATAAGTGGCGGCCAGATTATTGCTCTGTTTTCTTTTCAGCTTCTCTTCTTCTTCTTCTCTCTTCCTTCTCTCTTCAAGAAACTACTTTTCTTTCATATTTTTTAATTCAGCAGATTTCTACTGATATGGTGGATGGTGCATATGGATTTAAGACGGTGATGTCAAAGAATCAAAAGAAGATGTGCAATAAAAGGTTGCAAGAGGGACATTCTCAAAGAAAAAAAGGGACATTCTCAAAGAAAGTGACATGCATTCACAACGTAGCTCTAGACTATAACTTATAGCCCTTTTTGGTTCTGGAATAACCAAGGAATGTAGCTCTTGTATATCCTACTTGTAAAATTACCTTTTCTATAAAAAAAGAAAAGAAAAGAATTAAGGAATATAGCTTGGGAGTCTAGCTTATCAGAACTTGGACCCAACTGTTTGTATAGTACATATACAACCAATACATGAGGAAGGGAAAAGGGTGCTAAGGATGCAATCAAAATGGGGAAGGGGGATTTCTCATCAATGACTGAACTTTGAAGAAGGCATGCAGTTTTATCAAGAAACAAGAAATAAGGATAGCGTTACTTTTAAGAATTTTTGGAACAAACATCTTGTGTAATAGGCAAATGGTTGTGAAGGTTTCCTTTTGAAAGCGAGAGGTGCAGGCTTATCACGTTGGCAGTTGGACTACCTTTGTCTCTCCTTGGAAATACATTCATGGCCTTCTTCCAGCATCTTCATGGCTTTTTGTGGAGGCATTCACATGATGATTTTGAAGGGATGGGAGATCCATCATATGGATGGCCGAACCCTGCAGGAAGGTTGGGTGAAATTTCAAAAGTTTCTTTTCTCCCATCCGGGGATCACATTCACTAATTTTGAAAACTGCATTTTTAAATTTCGTTCTTGAATCCAAAACCGAACCAGATCTGAAAGCAAAAGGGAGGAGAGGGATATACCTGATACGAAGTAACAGTAACTCCCAATGAAGGTGTTCACGCCCAAGGAGAAGACCAAAACCCGCCTCCACTGAAGATGACACAGTGTGTGGTGAAGCAGGATCAGCAGGACGGCTCTTCAGTAAGAACTAAAATTCTTCAGCAAGAATGAAACAAGGGCTGGTGAGCACGACTTCAGATTGTTTCTTCAGCCAAGAAACAATATCAAGAACCTTTCTTGATCAGATCCACAAGTGGAGATCGAACTGGGTAGGGATGGCAAGAACAAGAGAGAACTCTGCAGATTGCTATGTATAAAACTGAGGAATTCGCCCCCTATTTATAGTCTTCTTTGAATCAGCCTCCTAATCTAATTAGGAGAGAGTTTCTTGATCCGAATCTGATATTTGGATCTGGACTCTTAAATGGATAAGACTTATCTTATCCTTCAGCTAATCCTCATCAGATTATAAATCAGATCTTGCCCTTTTTAATTAACTAACTTAAGCCTAATTCGAGTTGGGCTTTATGCCCATTAAGCTTATGTGCTCACTTACTCATTAACCTGCTGCCCAGTTAGCTCTCTTTGTATGGCGTGGGACCCTTACATTGATCTCCACATCAGCCACATGGGTTCAGCCCAACCTTTGTTACAAGGCCTAGCCGAATTCACTGTAGGAGACAGTGAACCCCTGAGTCCATCACCACGGGCTCTTAATGGGCTTAAAATTTACACTAAATGGTTCTTGGATCCAACCACCTTATGAAAACCCAAGAACTGTGGGCAGATGCAAGATTAGCCCATCAGGTATTACCCTCAATGGTCTTACACTTAACCTCTCAGCCCATAATGATCAAGCACTGC